ATATTATATTATGAGAGAATGGCCTCCTGTAGGAGAGCTCAGTGTCCTGTTTTTCTTCATGTCTCAGTGAACTGTGGAAAGCCTGATGTGGACTATAACGGAGCGGTGTATGGTAATGACTGGTGGGTGGGCTCCGTGGTGAGGTACACATGTCGCTCTGGCTTCACGCTTGTAGGAAGCCCCACAAGATCATGCCAGGCCAATGGTCTCTGGACCCCCAAACCCACCTGCCTCAGTGAGTAAACACCAACTGCTTCCTGACATAAAAGAAAGCGGGGCGCTGCTTTACGTCTCTTTCTAAACCTTTTATCTGATCTCACCCGGGCTTCAGGGATGTGTCGGAGGGGTCGTATTGAAATCGGTGAGCAGGAGCTTAACGGGACGTGTGACTCCACCTGTGCAGATAAGGGCTACTTCGGCCCACCCAAACTAGGCTGCAGTCGGATAGACAACTGCAAGAAGAAGGAGACGGGCTGGAAGCGGTTCTTTGCGCAGTGTGTCCCTTGCATTTGTGACTGCGCTTTATCGTGCTGTGAGTATTTTTCCCAACGCACTAGCCTTGTGATAGACAGAGGTTAACTTATTGTAAAATGTGTTCCTTTAGATATAAACTACTGTATTTCTGTGTTTTTGTTTCTCCTTTTTAGCATCTGCAGGCTGAGAGGAAGACATGTTTTGACAGCAGAGAGTGACTCCGGACAAAGATTGCTTCATCCAGCTGTGGACTAACATCTGGATGTTGTGAGACAATATGTTCAACTCTCTTTTTTTTCACACCAAACCCAACATTTTACTTGGGTTTCAACAAAATAAGACACCCTGACACAATGATGTTGCCACATGTTTGAATCTGTGTTCACCATTTTGAAAATGCAGAGTTTGATTTGACCAAAGCTGTAATCATATCTCTGATTGTTTAAATGAATTTAATGTTTGTCACAGATTCTAAATCTAGCAGTGCTCCAGAACTAAACATGTGCTGTATGCCTGGAAACCCATGTGTTTTTTTCAAAAGGACCAAAAAATGATCCAGAGTGTGAAAACTGGGAAAAAATAACCACAGATTAGCGTCTCAGCTTTATCGCTCCTCCTCCTAAAACTTTAATCTTGTTACAAACACCGGATTTGTGTGGACCTGTAGAGTTAGTTTTCAGGTGTTGCAGTCTGTTATTTTTATTAATTTATTCCTAAAACCATCTCAAGCTGTATTTGAACAAATCACAAACACAACTGGTGTGGAACGTTTAATGAGGAATCTTTGCAGATAAATGCACAAACATGAAACATTGCACACGACTTCATCTTCATTTGTGTTTCTTGGAATATTTTCCTCGTTTGTTTCATACCAGCTGAGTTTTGTCAAAGTTGCTGCACAGAGGTGTGGAGATGAATTTTGTTTTAAAGATGACATTTCTGCAGCAGACCACTAGATGGCGGGGTTGCCTTTATACGCTCACATTATCACAGCTCAAATGACACTGTGCAGTTTAGAGCAACGTCCACTGGAAGTCATGATGAAAACCATGAAAACAAAGCTTGATATTTTTATTTTTTCCTCTTCTGGTTTATAAGCGTTACTCATCATTTTTTGATTTCCAGGTGTTGAACCTGAGGATGATGTGCTCATCTGCTTTAGGTATGTAGCAGCCAATCCCTGCAAATAAAAAAAGATGCATCAGATTGATTATTTTAACTATTAGCCTGTTGCTATTGGGTGACSTTGTTTACCCTGTATCTAAAAACGTACATTTAGAGGCCTAGTATTTCTTGAAGGAATGAACTTCAAATGTCAATCGGTGTATGTATATTTAAAGATCGTTTCCTGAGAATTTTATTAACATCCTTCTGGTTGCTCAGCTTATTTATCTATCTATTTTTGCAAATGTTTTTAAGGTGTATTGACTGTGATGGTTATCTTGCTTTGGATTGGGTCTAAAAGTTGACCATAGATGTGCATCCWATGATTTTTTYCTTGAATGTTTCATTAAAATCTGACCAGTGGTTCATGAGATATTACAAACAGTAGACTGAGTCTACTCCAAAAAAAAAAAGGCTCAAAATTTGTCTTGGGAATCCGTTTCATCTACCACCCCAATGRAGTTGGGAGGTTGTATAACATTAATAACAACAGAATAAGATGATTTGCAAAACATTTTTAACCTATATTCAGTTGAATACACTATGAAGACAAGATATTTAATGTTCAAACGGATAAGCTTCATTGGTTTTTTGGAGAAAAAAAACCACTCATTTTGAATTTGATCCCTGCAACATGTTTGTTTGATGTTTTTGTGTTTTTGAATTAGCTGTGGCACAATTGTGAGAAATTTTGCTAACAAACAGGCATACTGACACTTGCAGAAAKGATGGTTTAAGATAATTATGCAACATGCAGGAGCTCTAAGTGAAAGAACAGCCAATTCTCCTGCATCATTAGAGAGCGTTAAGTGTTTCTCGGTGAAATCCGTGGAGGACACTCACCCACTTCAAGTCTGGTGTAGTCTCCGGAGCTCTCTGACAGGATCTCCCAGTAGGTGTGCTCATTATCGTCTCCAGCCACTCCGTTCACGCTCTCCAGGAACGGGCCGAAGTCTGGATGCTCCGTCACTGTGAAACTGACACAGAGAGTCAGAGCACCTCTCTGGAGGAGGAGCGTCTTTAAAAAAGCAGAAATGGGTCACCGTCTTTTTTTTTTAAGAGGGTGATAAAGAGCGTCTCGTGGGTGCTCTTACCTAAAGCCCGGCTCAGTTTCCTGCAGCCTCCTCATCGCTCCGAGCAGCATTCCCCCCTCCACCACAGAGCAGGAGTAGGACTCAGGGCTCAGGTTGGACAAGTCGTTCTCCACAGTCAGCTTGATGGGAAGAGACGCTGGACCTGCACGCAAAAATCATAACCATGCATCGTTTGATTCACGAACACAAATATATTCCCACAGAAGTACCTTTGATTGGGAACACTCCATGAGCCAGGAGCAGGAGAAGGCCCACTGAGAGCAGAGCTGCAGATCTTAGAGCCATMTTCTCTGATCTTTGTCTTCAGATGCTTCCTGATGAACACACCAGCTACTTATAGACGACTGTGCCCAKGTTTGTCCAAACCCATAGCACTCCTTCAACCACTGTACAATACAATCTTTGTTAAATAAAAACGCCCAGTAACAGGTGGTAATGGACACTAACACAGGTGCTATTGTCCTCCTGATATTAATAAATCACTGATAAAAATACATAATTAGTTAATGATCTATTAGTGGTTAATGACCTGCCATGAGCTTATTGTTCCATTATCACTTCTCAAAGATTATTTTTAGATAATAAATCTGATATATTTTATGACAAGAACATTTTGGTGCAACGTGGTAGAAAGCAGTTTTATCAACTAAATCAACAGTTCAAGTCTAGTGGGTTTTTGTGAAAATGTTATGAACAATTAGTATCTTACCTGTTGTAGATGGTTTTTGGTTAAAGTCAGTTTGGAGAAACAAAGCTTAATTTTAACCAGATTGGGTTAAACATAGTTGGGCTGGTAAGGAAAACAAGATTTAATGACTGGTCTTCTGATAAATCCTCATTAGGTGTTCGTTCATGTTTTGATGTCAGGTCACACCACCTTCTTTAGCGATAAGACTGATTTGCTTTTATTAGACTTTGTTCTCTTTCCTGGATAAGCTTTGTTCAATCTTAAGGCAGACTTGGGTTTGTCTTATCTCTGGGGTTTTCTGCTCGATGTTTCTTTTGTAATAAATTAATYCTTTCTGTTCTCCTTTAGTGTTTCTGTCACAAAAAGTCGATTTCTGCAAAAATTTTCAAATGGGCTCGAGCAAAAATGCAGTTTTAGTAAACCGTCAGTTTTGCAATATGCAGTTATTCTAGCAGCTGTATCACAGAAAATCCTGCTACTGAGGTGATGCCACTGCAATTAGTTGTGCTTCYGTATGATCATAAAATGATTTAATTTCATGTAAATAAAAGTGTAATGAGAGCACGATAGAGATGCATAAAAAGTTTTGTGTCATAATAAAGAACCTCATCTGACAAGAAATTATGGCAACAACAAACTTATTTACGGTAATGTGTAAACAATGCTTTAACGCAAAAAAACTGCAATTTTACTATTACATCAACAAAATAATATACAGTAGACTTCCATAGTTGTTTATAAATAGCAGCAGGAGCAACTAGCTGTATCACTTCCTGTACAGACTGAGGCACAGCCATTATAAATATGTATTATTTCTGTCAGAATATGAGACTTTAAAGATTGAAGTTTTATCACTATTATGACTTGGTTTTGTCTGTTTGGTACTTGGTGACTCTTCTTCTTTAAAGGGATCTCATACTATTTGCACATTTTGGCCTTATATTGTTTTTTCTCTGTTCTAATAAAAGTCATTTGTTATGTGAAAACATCAATTTAGCCTACTTTAATAATTGTGCATGTTATTTTCATTGTTTAGTTATGCATATTGCCATTTGCATTTTGGAGATGACACAAAAAGTTAAGGCTAAAATGTGTGACAGTAAAAGTCAATTTTATATTAGTTTGTTTTGCACAATAAATAGGTTGAAATGTTCAAATGAGATGTTTAGGAAATTAACTCTGGATCTAATCTATATTACTAATATATGGTGTTAGCTCCTGAGGTAATATTATTACATACACGTTGGGAGCTAACGCAAAAGCTAAAATGCTAAAGCTGAGGTGCTCCTTCAAAGGGTGATGTTGTCATCCATCATTTTCAGTTTCAGGCTGAGTCATTCCTTCTCTTCTCCATCAATGCACTCTAATTTAATTTAAAATGTYTGATCATCAGATATTGTCCAAARTTAACCTTCAAGCTGGATGGAGTTGGCACCGAAGCAGCATCATTTATCCAGCACGCTTTTCTGCAAAAGTAACACAGCCATGTCAGTGTGATAARATATTTTACTAATTTAYTAAAACTAAACAGCCTACAATGTTTTACAGTCTTGTTTATAGTTGAAACAAACGTTTCTTAAGTAATGTCAAATGTTACAACTAGTGAGCGTTCCCTTTTAAATGAAGCTGTTCATCTACAACAGGTAAGATAATATTTGCTCATAAAATTTCAGAAGAACCCTCAAAACAAATGGTTTATCTCTATTAATAGTAATGGGAAAAAAACCTGCTGAGTAATGCTTTAAGTCAGATTTTACATGTTGTGGAGGAAAACAACAAACATATTATCTTGTCTTCATGACGTTGCCATTTTAAGTCTGATTACTGTTTTGATGTGCTGATAAAAACAAAACACAGAACAGCCTGTGCTGACCACAGAGCTGACCATAGACGGGTAAACATGTACAACAACATTGAGTGCTTCATTCACTCATTAGCAGCATTTAGGTTCACTCAGAGTGAAAGTGGATGGGTCTTTATGGGACATGGTTTTTCAGTGACCCAGATTAGGACGCAGGTTTCGAGCGCAAGCGCCCCCCAAAACCGCTTTTGATTCCCTCTCAGGGGGGGTGATGTAAGTCATAGGGCTCGGTTTGAACGCGAGTAACCCCGGCTGCTTTACCGAAAATAACCCGGGCACTGCAGCATCAGCAGCAAGCAGCTGCGCAGGTGCGGCCTTTAAAGGGACAGAGGGACCGTC